AGTAGAGTATTAGAGGAGTAGTGTGTATAGGAGAGGTGTAGTAGAGTATTCGAGTTCTAGAAGTAGAGTTAGAGTAGTAGAGGAGTAGAGTAGTGTAGTATAGGAGTAGAGGAGTAGAGTAGGGTTTTATAGTTGTAGGTATGGTAGTGTCTAAGTATAGTTAGAGTAGTAGTAGTAGAGTAGGAGTTGAGGGAGTGTGGGTAGTGTTAGGTGTAGGAGTAGAGTAGTAGGAGTATAGGTATTGAGTAGGGTAGTAGAGTAGATATAGTAGGGGGTAGGGGGAGACGTAGGAGGGGGTAGAGGTAGTAGTAGTAGAGTAGTAGGTAGAGTAGAGGGAGTAGAGTAGTAGAGTGTATAGGAGTAGAGAGTAGAGTAGAGTGTTAGGTAGAGTAGTTAGTAGTAGGTATTGAGGAGTTAGAGTATAGAGAGTAGGGAGTAGGTATAGAGTAGAGAGGAGTAGAGTAGTGTAGTAGGAGTAGAGAGTGATGTAGTAGGTAGTAGTAGTGAGTATTCGAGTCGAGTGAGGTAGGTTGAGTAGTAGGTAGTAGTAGGTAGTATGGAGTTAGGAGTAGTAGAGTGAGGGTAGTAGTAGTAAGTAGAGGATAGGAGTAGGTAGAGTAGGTAGTAGTAGTGGTAGTAGAGTATGAGTAGAGTAGGTGTTAGGGTAGAGTGGTAGTAGAGCGAGGTAGTAGAGGTTAGTAGTGAGTAGGAGAGGGGTGAGTGGTGGGTAGTAGAGGAGTAGGGGTTAGTGGTAGGGTGTAGTGGGTAGTGAGGAGTGAGGAGGTAGAGTGTGTAGTGTGGGTAGTAGGGAGTAGGTAGAGTAGTAGAGGAGTAGAGTAGTAGAGGAGTATAGTAGAGTAGTGTAGTGGGGTAGTAGAGGAGTAGAGTAGAGTAGTAGAATAGAAGAAACAAGATACCCCGACTACTGGTCCAGGGTCAGATATACTTTTAGACCACAATAAGGTTAAGGTTAGGGGTTAGGTCATGTGGTTAAGGTTCTGTTATCTGATCCTAGATCTGTGGTTGGTTAGGGGTATTGTGTGTACGATTGGTGATTATTCTCTCCAGGGGGAAACACAGATGACCACTTTCAGTTGCAGGCATGCTGTAAAGTATTTTGAGGCAAACTATTGCTAGAAGAGGCTTGAGTGCAGTGTTGGATATTCCCCATCAGCAAAGAGCTGGAAGGACAGAAACCTGTTTTTATTCAGTAGTTAAATACTAAACAGAGTTGGAGGATGCTAGTTAAATTCAGTGGGGTTAGTTGTGTTAAAATAGTCCCCTCCGGCTAGTAAACCTGCCCCCCAGAGAGAAAATAAATAGTCTGGGGGGTCCGAAGGAGGCAGGGGACAAGAGGGGGGTAGCTTGGACCCCCGTATTGGTATGTTTACCATTTCTGAGTCACTGTGACAGATCGGCTCGGCACCCCCCTCGGAGGAGCGGGGGAGGAGGGGCAGCGTACAGTACAGGACGGGGGTGTAGAACGTGTCGTCATCGTCCGACTGGCCCGCCCCCTCAGAGTTACAGCGGGTCAGGAAGTCGGAGCGGGTCCGAGACATACAGGCTTTCTTTTTGGGGCCGGGCCGGCCGACCTGCTCAACCACACACACCAAAAGACGTCAGTGGTCTGGGTACGTGTTAGGAGATAGGGATGATGGGTGTGTGTGTGTGGGTGTGTGTGTGTGAGACTGGGGCAATGTGTGTGTGTGTGTTGCACTCCATGATCAAAAGTATGTGAACACCTGCTCGTCGAACATCTAATTGCAAAATCATTGGCATTAATATGGAGATGGTCCCCCCTTTGCTGCTATAACAGCCTCCACTCTTCTGGGAAGGCTTTCCACTAGATGTTGGAATATTGCTGCGGGGACTTGCTTCCATTCAGCCACAATAGCATTAGTGAGGTCGAGCACTGATGTTTGGCGATTAGGCCTGGCTCGCAGTCTGCGTTCCAATTCATCCCAAAGGTGTTCGATGGGGTTGAGGTCAGGACTCTGTGCAGGCCAGTCAAGTTCTTCCACACCTATCTCGACAAACCATTTCTGTATGGACCTCGCTTTGTGCACGGGGCAATGTCATGCTGAAACAGGAAAGGGCCTTCCCCAAACTGTTGCCACAAAGTTGGAAGCACAGAATCGTCTAAAATGTAATTGTATGCTGTAGCATTAAGATTACCCTTCATTGGAACTAAGGGGCCTGAACCATGAAAAACAGCCCCAGACCATTATTCCTCCTCCACCAAGCTTTACAGTAGACACTATGCATTGGGGCAGGTAGCGTTCTCCTGGCATCCGCCAAACCCAGATTAGTCCGTCGGACTGCCAGATGGTGAAGCGTGATTCATCACTCCAGAGAACGCGTTTCCACAACTCCAGAGTCCAATGGCGGCGAGCCGACGCTTGGCATTGCGCATGGTAATCTTAGGCTTGTGTGCGGCTGCTCGGCCATGGAAACCCATTTCATGAAGCTCCCGACGAAAGGTTTTTGTGCTGTCGTTGCTTCCAGAGGCAGTTTGGAACTCGGTAGTGAGTGTTTCAACCGAGGACAGACGATTTTTACGCGCTACGCGCATCAGCACTCCGCGGTCCCGTTCTGTTAGCTTGTGTGGCCTACCACTTCGCGGCTGAGCCGTTGTTGCTCCTAGACGTTTCCACTTCACGATAACAGCACTTACAGTTGACTGGAGCAGTTCTAGCAGGGCAGAAATTTTACGAACTGACTTGTTGGAAAGGTGGCATCCTATGACGGTGCCACGTTGAAAGTCACTGAGCTCTTCAGTAAGGCCATTCTACTACTAATGTTTGTCTATGGAGATTGCATGGGTGTGTGCTCGATTTTATACACCTGTCAGCAACAGGTGTGGCTGAACTAGCCGAATCCACTAATTTGAAGGGGTGTCCACATACTTTTGTATAAACAGTGCCTTCGGAAAGTATTCAGACCCCTTGACTTTTTCCACATTTTGTTACATTACAGCCTTATTCTAAAATTGATTAAAAAAAAATAAAAAATCAATCTACACACAATACCTCATCATGTCAAAGCGAAAACAGTTTGAGACATTTTTGAAAAATGTATTAAAAATAAAAAACTGTAAGTATTCGGATCCTTTGCTATGAGACTGGAAATTGAGCTCAGGTGCATCCTGTTTCCATTGATCATCCTGTTTCTACAACTTGATTGGAGTCAACCTGTATTAAATTCAATTGATTGGACATGATTTGGAAAGGCATACACCTATCTATATAAGGTCCCACAGTTGGCAGTGCATGTCAGAGCAAAACCCAAGCCATGAGGACGAAGGAATTGTCCGTAGAGCTCCGAGACAGGTTAGTTTCGAGGCACTGATCTGGGGAAGGGTACCTGCAGCATTGAAGGTCCCCAAGAACACAGTGGCCTCCATCATTCTTAAATGGAAGAAGTTTGGAACCACCGAGACTCTTCCTAGAGCTCGCCACCCGGCCGAACTAAGCAATCGGGGGAGAAGGGCCTTGGTCAGGGAGATGACCAAGAACCTGATGGTCACTCTGACAGAGCTCTAGAGTTCCTTTGTGGAGATGGGAGAACCTTCCAGAAGAAAAACTATCTCTGCAGCACTCCACCAATCAGGCCTTTATGGCCAGAAGGAAGCCACTCCTCAGTAAAAGGCACATGACAGCCCGCTTGGAGTTTGCCAAAAGGCACCTAAAGACTCTCAGACCATGAGAAACAAGATTCTCTGGTCTGATGAAACCAAGATTGAACTCTTTGGCCTGAATGCCAAGCGTCACGTCTGGAGGAAACCTGGTACCATCCCTACGGTGAAGCATGGTGGGGGCAGCATCATGCTGTGGGGATGTTTTTCAGTGGCAGGGATTGGGAGACTAGTCAGGATCGAGGCAAAGATTAACGGAGCAATGTACAGAGAGATCCTTGATGAAAACCTGCTCCAGAGCACTCAGGACCTCAGAATGGGGTGAAGGTTCACCTTCCAACAGGACAATGACCCTAAGCACACAGCCAAGACAAACGCATGAGTGGATTCGGGACAAGTCTCTGAATGTCCTTGAGTGGCCCAGCCAGAGCCCGGACTTGAACCCGATCTAACATCTCTGGAGAGACCTGAAAATAGCTGTGTAACAATGCTCCCCATCCAACCTGACAGAGCTAGAGAGGATCTGCAGAGAGGAATGGGAGAAACTCCCCAAATACAGGTGTGCCAAGCTTGTAGCTTCATACCCAAGAAGACTCAAGGCTGTAATCGCTGCCAAAGGTGCTTCAACAAAGTACTGAGTAAAGGGTCTGAATACTTATGTAAATGTGATATTTCCATTTTTTTATTTTTCATAAATTAGCAACAACAAAAAAACAACGTGTTTTTGCCTTGTCGTTATGGGGTATTGTGTGTAGATTGATGAGAAGGGAAAAAACAATTGAATCAGTTTTAGAATAAGGCTGTAACGTAACAAAATGTGGAAAAAGTCAAGGGGTCTGAATACTTATGTGGATATCACTTAGAGACACACTGACAGTTTGAATGACACAAATTAATAACACTTTCAACTTATACAAGCACACACACTCACATGCACGATGTGTGTGTGTGTGTGTGTTTCCTTTGGGTAGTCTATCGTGTATAACCCACCTCTCTGGCTGTCTGTCCAGTGGTGGCTCTAGAGGCCAACGACCGCTCATGGTTCACCAGGTCCATATCAGACCTACAATACAGTCACCAGACAATACGTTACATTTCTTTGTACACTTTCAAATGTAAGTATTTAGTTACATATTCAAATATATTTTTCCTGTGTTTTACAATGTTGTTGCTGTACAAGGCAATGAAAAATAACAGAACATTTTGAAAAATAATGATCTTTTTGTGGTCATTTATTGAAATGAAAGTGTTCATTTGTACACATTGTCTGTCAGTGAAAAAAATTAAGCTAGTGTTGAGAGAACAAATGAACTACAAAGCTTTGAATGAGCAGCAACATTAAAGCAACGTTACAGCAACACAACACTCACTTGCGTCGGGGGGAGAACGTGGTGTTGGTGGGGGGCTTCTCAGCCATATTGACAACGATGGTCTTGGTCGGGGTCTTCTTCTGTGATGCCAGGGCTGCTTCCCTGCTCTCCAGGATACTGTTGGTGGAGACCCAGTTGTCCTGCGCTGGCCTGCACCTCTCCTGCTGGCTGGGTATGACTTCACCGGCGGGGGCCTTGGGCTCCAGAACTATCTGGATATCTACCTCGGAAGGACAAAGGCCATGGCTGGAGTTGGAGGATGGCACCAAACTAGACATGTCGATCCCAGCTAAGTCTCTCGGAGGCTTGGTAACAGTCCTGGGCGGCTGGGCCTTCTCTGATACTTCCAGGCCGGCGATGGGTGTAGGGGAGGATGTTGCGGTGGTTACACCCATCTGGAGTGCACTCTCCTGGGCTTTCGCTGCCCACAGCTCCCCTTCGTCCAGCAGGGTCTCCTTCTGCATACTGATGACAACCACCATGGGCCGTCGAGATGCGGACTCTCTCCTCTCCTTCACAGGCTTGTTGGGGCTCTCTTGCTTAGGCTTGGGCTCACTGCTTTGGTCCTTAGAAGGGATGAAGAAGGTAGCTTGTGTAGCCTCCACCACCACTTCCTTGATAGGGGGCGGTAGCATGGGCGGTAGCTCCTCCGTCCTGGGGCTTAGATCATTCTCTTTTACCACCTTTGGGTGCTGTGGCTGGGACTGGGACTGGGACTCTGGGGGGGTGTGAACGGGAGACCCTGGTCTGACTAAATCCTCTTGGGAAGAAGTCCGGCGCGGCGCTGACTGGTTAACATGGCAACCGGGGTAACCAGGCCCTCCCGCCTCCACGTCTATGGAGGTGTCAAGCAGCTCATCAGGAGAGCCACGGTGGGGGGAGGAGGGCCGGTGGTGTTGGTTGTCGTCCAGGGGACAGGGGATGCTGTCCGGACACAGGGGTACATGGGTTTCCTCTTCTGGCAGAGTCCCTCCCTTTCTGTGGGTCCGCACCTTGAGTAGCTCCAGGCTGAACTGGGTCTGCTCCAGCTCCCTCATACGCCGGCTCTGTCTCTTGGCCCGTGTCTTGTGGCTGCTGGGCTCTACACTCTGTTTGTTTTCTGACTCTATATTCGGTCTTCTCTCACTCTCCCCATCCACCTCCTCTTCCTCCTTAGAGTCTTCAGTAGGCCAGACTGTGGAGACATTTTGGATGTCCTGATCGCGTGTGATCTCGAGGACATGGTCCTCCGAGGTGTCCGTATCCGGGCCCATGGTCCTCTCTGCCTCCTCTTCTTCTGTGGTGGGGCTACATGGTCCATTGAGCAACTGCCTTTTATGCTGACTCTGCTCTTTTAGTTCTGTGAACCTATAGGAAACAGGGAGTCAAACTGTAAGCGAACACAGCTTAAAGCAATCTACCTACCATTCCTACTCTTTTCCAATGTGTTCTTCATCAGTGTAGGGAAAGGCTAATCATTTGAACCTGGGAGCAATAGGGCGTGCAAGCTTTTGTTCCAGCCCAGCAATAAAACACACTTAATGTGTTTATCTTGAACCAATTATAACTACATGAATCAGGTGTTTTAGAGCTATTGTGACGGCACTGAATTTGTCTGAACCGTCTCAGTGCATCTCCTGCCGATGGGGCGCTTGCCTTTAATTCCCCATTAAATAGCCAGCATCAGCTGTTCCCAAGCACCTTTACTCCGTTTTCCAACCGGTATTTCATTTGTTTTAGTGGGATTTACACCGTGTTGGGTTATGTGTTCAGCGGCTAGTGAAGACTACTGGGAGTTCTGATAACCTTTATCGTTGTTTGGTAAAAGATGTTGAGATTCTGATTATATGATTAAGACTGGGTTTAATCTGCACTTTATGACTGGAAAAACATTGCGTGACTGAGGCCACTTGAGTTCACTCAAACTCCTTTACCAGGCTGGACTCTCTTTAGGCCCAAGGTACGGCACTTTCTCGAGGAACCAGTGATCATTGTGTTACGATGTTATTATGCGTGTGATCATTTATTTATAACCAACGCAAAATAACTCAGTTGTTTTGAAGTTATTTCCAATGTTTTAAGGGTTTACGTAAAGTGTATTTCCATTCTGACTTTTACATGAGTTCCTTGTATTGACGGACGGGACTCATTCCCTCACAAACAAAAAGGAGAAATCAATATTTTCTCTGGTAGGCACAACGTACCTGGCACCCCTAACCTCAAGTCAAAACCGTTACACCATGTTTGATCATATTTAGAATATAATTCCATATTGTCCATCTTTATATACACTGAGTTTACAAAACATTAAGAAAAACATATTCCCATGACATAGACTGACCAGGTGAATCCAGGTGAAAGATATGATCTCTTATTGATGTCACTTGTTAAATCCACTTCAATCAGTGTAGATGAAGGGGAGGAGACAGGTTAAAGAAGGATTTTTAAGCCTTGAGACAACTGAGACATGGATTGTGTATGCTTGCCATTCAGAGGGTGAATGGGCAAGACAAAATATTTAAGTGCCTTTGAATTGGGTATGGTAGTAGGTGCCAGGCGCACCGGTTTGTATCAAGAACTGCAACGCTGCTGGGTTTTTCACAGTCAACAGTTTCCCGTGTGTATCAAGAATGGTCCACCACCCAAAGGACATCCAGCCAACTTGACACAACTGTGGGAAGCATTGGAGTCAACATGGGCCAGCATCCCTGTGGAACACTTTCGACACCTTGTAGAGTCCATGCCCCGATGAATTGAGGCTGTTCTGAGGGCAAAGGGGATGGTGCAACTCAATATTAGGAAGGTGTTCTTAATGTTTGATATACTCAGCGTATATCATAAAATATAAATGTTTATCACTCCTAGTTACCTTAGGCGTGCCATGTAGCCCCTGCACGCTGCCTGTAGCAGCATAACTGCACCACGTGTCCTACAGTAGTGGGCTCTCTCTCTGTAGGCCCGCCAGGCTGTTTGCACCGTAATGGCCGCCAGAGCCCTGTGCTGCCAGCAGTTTCTCCAGCGCCTCTGTATTATCAGGGCAGAGTCCCTCCACTGCAGGAACCGCCTGCACTGCCTGTAGCACCTCCACGATGCCTGCAGGCACACTGCTGCCCCCTCCTGGATGGCTGGGTCCACTGCAGCCTGCTCCTGGATGGTTGGGTCCCCTGCAGCCTGCTCCTGGATGGCTGGGTCCCCTGCAGCCTGCTCCTGGACAGCTGGGTCCACTGCTTCCTCTTCCTGGACGGCTGGGTCCCCTGCAGCCTGCTCCTGGATGGCTGGATCCCCTGCTTCCTCTTCCTGGACGGCTGGGTCCACTGCTGCCTCCTGGATTGTTGGGTCCTCTGCTGCCTGCTCCTGGACGGCTGGGTCCACTGCAACCTGCTCCTGGACGGCTGGGTCCACTGCTTCCTCTTCCTGGACGGCTGGGTCCACTGCTTCCTCTTCCTGGACGGCTGGGTCCACTGCTTCCTCTTCCTGGACGGCTGGGTCCACTGCTTCCTCTTCCTGGACGGCTGGGTCCACTGCAGCCTGCTCCTGGATGGCTGGGACCCCTGCTTCCTCTTCCTGGACGGCTGGGTCCACTGCAGCCTCCTCCTGGATGGCTGGGACCCCTGCTTCCTCTTCCTGGATGGCTGGGACCCCTGCTTCCTCTTCCTGGACGGCTGGGTCCACTGCAGCCTCCTCCTGTCTGAGCAGGCAGCCCCGCCACCACCGCTGAGGAGAGGAGAGAATTGAGAAATATGAATTAACAAAGTGAATTCAAGTATAAAGTCATATTTGTGGAAAAAACTGAGAATGTTTATTGACTGGGGTATTATCGTTGCAGTATATGTTGGAATTAATTGTATGTGAGCGGTTTTAAAGTTTTAGAGTAGTATCGAGAATCCTTTCGAGGTAAGAAAATGCTTGAAAAATGATTCATATTTTACAAAACTTACCCTTTAAGGCCCAATTTGTATGTGAACCGAATATACCCCAGGAAGACCTCTAGTGGGTAAACATCTACTGAGATACATTAATAAGGTATAGAAGTCTATAGAAGTTTTTGGAACGCAATACATTTGTTATTCCAGATACAATGGCAGGTTGATATGGATATCCCGACAGATATTTGACAAAACATACAGTGCCTGAATGTTTGATTAGCTAAAATAAAAACTCTGTGAACAACTCACATCAAGTTGACAACATCTCTCTACAGTTATAAACTAAATCCACAGTTTCTTTGTTCTTCTGAGTGTGGAGATTGAAACAAATGAACACAGCTACCGAACAAAATCCATTTAACGGCCCCAGAGAATAACATTTCTAAATTAGCAGTTGGTCGTATTTATACGCTGTGAGTAAAAACTATTTTTTTTTAAACACTTTGCGAGACTATTTCAACTCTCCGTTTTGGTTTATTTCTACAAGGAAATGGCTGTCTTTAACCTAAAAAGAAATTCAACTTTTCAAACAGCTACTGCTATTGCCCGTTGACAGGTCTGTGTAATCATGCTGAATGGCATATTATTATTATTATATTTCAAATTCCTTATATTAAGCAAACCAGACGGCACGATTTTCAGCCAGGGGCACACTCCAACACTCAGACATAATTTACAAACGAAGCATGTGTGTTTAGTGAGTCCGCTAGATCAGAGGCAGTAGGGATGACCAGCATGTTCTCTTGATAAGTGCGTGAATTGGACCATTTTCCTGTCCTGCTAAGCATTCAAAATGTAACTAGCACTTTGGGTGTCAGGGGAAAATGTATGGAGTAAAAAGTACATTATTTTGTAGTGGAGTAAAAGTAAAAGTTGTAAAAAATCGAAATGTACAGATATCCAATAAACTATTTACGTAGTACTTTAAAGTATTTTTACTTAAGTACTTTACCCCACTGTCCTCTACTCTGTAAAACTAGAAAAGCTGCACCTCAAGTTCTGAGTCAATGAACGTGTTTTTGGCGTCAACATTCTGTCTAATAAATACATTTAATACAGTATATGCTATTGCCCCCCAAAGTATATTTTAAAGAACACAATTGTATTTTAATTAGATTATGTTACTGTAAGCTACATGTAAGAAAACACCACAATTCAAGTGTTAAACACCAGAAATGTATTATTATTTTGTTAAGGCAGGTCTTAAGAAACATTATGAAACTAATAAATTGTATTTTAAAAGAACAGAATAGCATATTTTACGTTTTATTATGTTACTAGTCGGTGCTTAGTAACCTACACCAGGGGTCTTCAACTCTTACCCTACGAGGTCCGGAGCCTGCTGGTTTGGTGTTCTAAGTGATCATTTCTTGGAACACCTGGTGTCCCAGGTCTAAATCAGTCCCTGATTAGAGGGGAACAATGAAAAAAAGGCAGTGGAACTGGCTTCCAGGTCCAGAGATGAGTTAGAGGGCTCTAGGCTATGCTGAATAAAAAATTGCTTTTTTTGGTAAGCTCCGTTCCCTTCTTTGTCAATTACCCACGCTGCACTGCAGTCTCCTCATTCACAAGACAATTGATCATATTGTCACCCATCAGTCTATTGTCAATGTACTCTTGTCTTTAGGCTACATCTATTATTATATGTGTGCAATTAGTTTCAATATAGTTTAGGTGTAGTTTCGATGGGCCATTGTCAGATGGCAGCCGAATGTCAGGTGAAGGAAGAGCATGTCCTTCTAAAACTGCTTAGAACACAAACACTGTGTTTTCCAAATTCTAACAACGGCAGTTGAATATACTTACATAGGAAAAGTCAAGGATGGGGGGGGACATGACTTTGTCAAGGATGGGGGGGGGGGGGGCATGACTTTGTCAAGGATGGGGGGGGCATGACTTTGTTAAGGATGGGGGGGGACATGACTTTGTTAAGGATGGGGGGGGACATGACTTTGTCAAGGATGGGGGGACATGACTTTGTTAAGGATGGGGGGGACATGACTTTGTTAAGGATGGGGGGGACATGACTTTGTCAAGGATGGGGGGACATGACTTTGTTAAGGATGGGGGGGGGACATGACTTTGTCAAGGATGGGGGGGACATGACTTTGTTAAGGATGGGGGGGGGGACATGACTTTGTCAAGGATGGGGGGGACATGACTTTGTCAAGGATGGGGGGGACATGACTTTGTTAAGGATGGGGGGGGACATGACTTTGTTAAGGATGGGGGGGGACATGACTTTGTTAGGGATGGGGGGGACATGACTTTGTTAAGGATGGGGGGGGGACATGACTTTGTTAAGGATGGGGGGGACATGACTTTGTTAAGGATGGGGGGACATGACTTTGTTAAGGATGGGGGGGACATGACTTTGTTAAGGATGGGGGGACATGACTTTGTTAAGGATGGGGGGGACATGACTTTGTCAAGGATGGGGGGGACATTACTTTGTTAAGGATGGGGGGACATGACTTTGTTAAGGATGGGGGGGGACATGACTTTGTCAAGGATGGGGGGGGACATGACTTTGTTAAGGATGGGGGGGGACATGACTTTGTCAAGGATGGGGGGGACATGACTTTGTCAAGGATGGGGGGGGACATGACTTTGTCAAGGATGGGGGGGGGGGACATGACTTTGTCAAGGATGGGGGGGACATGACTTTGTTAAGGATGGGGGGGGACATGACTTTGTCAAGGATGGGGGGGACATTACTTTGTTAAGGATGGGGGGGACATGACTTTGTCAAGGATGGGGGGGACATGACTTTGTTAAGGATGGGGGGGGGACATGACTTTGTCAAGGATGGGGGGGGACATGACTTTGTCAAGGATGGGGGGGGACATGACTTTGTCAAGGATGGGGGGGCACATGACTTTGAAAATGGTAATAATTGTATTAATTTATTCATATGCCAGTCAAAGTGATAGTCTCAGCGCTTCTAGTGTTAACACACAGACATGGATTTACTATGACCTGTGTGGTCTAGCAGTCAGTGCTGCACACAAAAACCAGAGTTGGGTTTGAATCCGACCCAGCGCACTTCTCCCCACTTTCCTGTGTTCTCTCCACTGTCCTCTCTGTTCAATAAAACCAATAAAATACCACAAAAAAAAAAGGTTACAAAAAAGAAGAAATGGAAATACAAGAACGGACATTCCCGTTCAAGTCAATGTTCCGTGATGGTTAGACTGGCAGGCATATTGATTCTACCCATGTCATTCTATACAGTAACTGGTGTGGTGCCCAAACTACGCCATCTCACCTGGATGACATCAGCGGCCTGTCTCATGTTGATGAAGTGTTTCCTCTCCAGCCGGGCTCGGAAGCGGCGCTGCAGCGTGACGATGCGTCCCAACACCTCCGTGTGGAGCAGGGCCTGCAGCCGCTGTCGCTCCGCCTCCCGCAGGAACACCTGCAGCACAGAGAGAGACCCGGGGGGGAGGGGCCGTTAGTGACTAGACACACCCACACCCAGGGAACAGAAAGGGGGGGGGGAGGGGCCGTTAGTGACTAGACACACCCACACCCAGGGAACAGAAAGGGGGGGGGGAGGGGCCGTTAGTGACTAGACACACCCACACCCAGGGAACAGAAAGGGGGGGGAGGGGCCGTTAGTGACTAGACACACCCACACCCAGGGAACAGAAAGGGGGGGGAGGGGCCGTTAGTGACTAGACACACCCACACCCAGGGAACAGAAAGGGGGGGGGGGGGGGGGGGGCCGTTAGTGACTAGACACACCCACCCCCAGGGAACAGAAAGGGGGGGGGGGGGGGGCGTTAGTGACTAGACACATCCACCCCCAGGGAACAGAAAGGGGGGGGGAGGGGCCGTTAGTGACTAGACACATCCACCCCCAGGGAACAGAAAGGCTGCAATGCGTGAGAGAGAGAGAGAGAGAGCGAGAGAGAGAGAGAGGAGGGGGTGCATACCATTGTGTTGCCAACTTGATACCCAGCGGGTGCTAGATGAACTTGACGAAAGAACTCCCTGATGCCAGACTTGGTTGGTCTAGTAATGTCTGGTAAGAGCACACGAAAGTGACGCACAAAGTCCTGCAAAGACGAGCCAAAAGAGATTTAAAATAACATATCAACAGTGACTTCAAAATACAAGTTAGGGTTGACATGTCTTACAGTCTGTAAATAAGACTGTTTACATTCCAAGTGCATGGATGTGACATCACTACATCAACATTCCGTTCAGTGAGAATTACGACCATTGACCAGTACATTTTGACAGTTACATTTTAGTCATTTAACAGACGGTCATATCCAGAGCGACTTACAGTCAAGTGCATTCAACTAAGTAACACACAGTATTGTGTATCTGATCCGCTAATCTGTGCCCATGACTTCAGTGCTGTATCCTGATTGGTTGGCGTGAGGGCTTACCTGGAAGGTGTATTTGATGGCGTATCCTGATTGGCGGATGCGGACGGTCTCCAGCATGCCTGTGTACCTCAGCTGCCTGAGTACCAGGGCATCGTTGAAACGCAGGGGGAGCTGAGAGAGGGAAGGAGAGAGAGACAGAGAGAGGGAAGGAAAGAGAGACAGAGAGAGGGAAGGAGAGAGAGACAGAGAGAGGGAAGGAGAGAGAGACAGAGAGAGGGAAGGAAAGAGAGACAGAGAGAGGGAAGGAGAGAGAGACAGAGAGAGGGAAGGAGAGAGAGACAGAGAGAGGGAAGGAAAGAGAGACAGAGAGAGGGAAGGAGAGAGAGACAGAGAGAGGGAAGGAAAGAGAGACAGAGAGAGGGAAGGAGAGAGAGACAGAGAGGGAAGGAAAGAGAGACAGAGAGGGAAGGAAAGAGAGAAAGAGAGAGGGAAGGAAAGAGAGACAGAGAGAGGGAAGGAGAGAGAGACAGAGAGAGGGAAGGAAAGAGAGACAGAGAGGGAAGGAAAGAGAGACAGAGAGAGGGAAGGAAAGAGAGAAAGAGAGAGGGAAGGAAAGAGAGATAGAGAGAGGGAAGGAGAGAGAGACAGAGAGAGGGAAGGAGAGAGAGACAGAGAGAGGGAAGGAAAGAGAGACAGAGAGAGGGAAGGAAAGAGAGACAGAGAGAGGGAAGGAAAGAGAGACAGAGAGAGGGAAGGAGAGAGAGGACAGGAGGGAGAGAGGAGAGGAGAGGGAAGGAGAGAGAGACGGAGGAGGGAAGAGAGAAGAGAGAGGGAAGGAAAGGAAGAGAGACAGAGAGAGGGAAGGAAAGAGAGACAGAGAGAGGGAAGGAAAGAGAGACAGAGAGAGGGAAGGAGAGAGAGACAGAGAGAGGGAAGGAGAGAGAGACAGAGAGAGGGAAGGAGAGAGAGACAGAGAGAGGGAAGGAGAGAGACAGAGAGAGGGAAGGAGAGAGAGACAGAGAGAGGGAAGGAAAGAGAGACAGAGAAGACGGGAAGGAGAGAGAGACAGAGAGGAAGGAGAGAGACAGAGAGAGGGAAGGAAAGAGAGACAGAGAGAGGGGAAGGAAGAGAGACAGAGAGAGGGAAGGAGAGAGAGACAGAGAGAGGGAAGGAGAGAGAGACAGAGAGAGGGAAGGAGAGAGAGACAGAGAGAGGGAAGGAGAGAGAGACAGAGAGAGGGAAGGAAAGAGAGACAGAGAGAGGGAAGGAAAGAGAGACAGAGAGAGGGAAGGAGAGAGAGACAGAGAGAGGGAAGGAGAGAGAGACAGAGAGAGGGAAGGAGAGAGAGACAGAGAGAGGGAAGGAAAGAGAGACAGAGAGAGGGAAGGAAAGAGAGACAGAGAGAGGGAAGGAGAGAGAGACAGAGAGAGGGAAGGAGAGAGAGACAGAGAGAGGGAAGGAAAGAGAGACAGAGAGAGGGAAGGAAAGAGAGACAGAGAGAGGGAAGGAGAGAGAGACAGAGAGAGGGAAGGAGAGAGAGACAGAGAGAGGGAAGGAAAGAGAGACAGAGAGAGGGAAGGAGAGAGAGACAGAGAGGGAAGGAAAGAGATTTAAAACACTGTATAATTGGCTATAACAGGCTACGTAATTAACAGACAATTTCATTGTTCAGTGGTTTCATTGTTACATTATCATCTAACCTAACTGAAGAAGCTGTTCCTACAGTAGCTGTTAGCGGAATATACCTTCTCTGCATTGGAGCGGATACACTTGACAAAGTAGGGCTCCGACTGGCCCAGGGTCTCCATCAGCTTGTTCAGAGAGGCCTTCACACAGCAAGACACCAGGACATCACAGCATTAGTAATGTAATAATAATAATAATATTTTTTTTTTTAAATGCTATTTAGCAGACGCTTTTATTCAAAGTGACTTACAATACAGTCATGCGTGCATACATTTTAAGCACGGGTGGTCCCGGGAATCGAACCCACTATCCTGGCGTTGCAAGTGCCATGCTTTAGCTAGCTTCCCATCATACGTTGCATAAACCAGGTATTATAAAAGCTCACGTTATTTATTATAGTAGACTTCATGTTCCATTCCAAATCAACCTCTTGCCCCTATACATGATCTGAGATAATTACTGTGACACGTTTTGCGAAATGAACATAAAAGTAAATGTTTAATTTATATAAATATTTCATTTGACATCTGTCCAATTCTTAAGATCTTCACAAAGTGCCTGGAGATCCGTAGGAGCTGAGTGTTGGAATTGGGCATTGGTTTGAGGGCTGTGAAGAGATGAAGGACACTAAAGCGTGAGAGAGAGGTGGATGCTTACCTGGAACTGGGCGCTGATGCTGGGTGTTTTCTTCTTCTTGTGCAGGAGGAGGAGGGACTTGGTGATGCGGTCGTGGAGGGTCACACTGCTCAGGTACCTCAGAGACTTCACGTCCAACAGGTGCTGCACAGATACATGAACCGCCATAGGAACACGCTCAGACAGTATAGTATTCAAAATAATTATACGGCCAAACTGTTACTGTCAACTTATGCTCGCCTCTATAAAGCTCTGTAATTTCACTGCTGTAATCCATTACTTCCCTATTGACATTTCCTCCTAGAATAGATCGTCTGTCATGTTGAAACCATTGAGAAAATTATCACTTGTAAAATGACCACGACTTTGTAAGGACCTTACCTTCGGCAGGCTGGGCTTGGACTTGTAGTTTTTGTTCCGCCTGTGGGAGAGAGACTGGTCGTCAGATATACTACAGTATGAACACACATTGACCACTGCCTGACCATGGTTTCTGACCGTGACTTGAGCGTTCACGGTGATGGTCAGACTTGTCAAACTCTATGCCCTGTGCTCTCCACCAGGAGATTCATAAAGTAGGAACACACATTGACCGTGGATTGAACACTGGCTGATCATGGTTCGAGTGTATTTATTAAGGATCACCTATTAGTGTGCGTGGTCAGACTAACTGCTGTACACACCTTTTCTATTCATACTGTGCATACACACCATTCACATACATATAGATGTATATGTGTTCCTTAATGTTTTGTCCACTCAGCGTAGCTGTATTTATATTCCGGACTCTGTTCCTAATGTTTTGTCCACTCAGTGTAGATGTATTTATACTCTGACTCTGGGTCCTAGACTTCTGATATGTCTTAACGTCTTTGTTCTTGATTTTCTAACTTTTAGATTGTGTGTACTGTTATTGTGTTGCTAGATATTGCTGCATTGTTGGAGCTGGAAACATCAGTATTTCCCTCCACCAGTGATAACATCTGCAAAACTGTGTACGCGACCGATAAACTTTGATTTGATTTTGTAGTCATACTCACATGAGGATGCCCTGTGCCCTCTCCAGCAGCTTGCTGCTAGTGGAGTTGAAGAAGATGCCGTCATCAAACTCTGAGCCTGAGGAGGACAGACAACCCTTTCTGGAGCTACGCCCGTTACAGCCCACACCATAACCATCCCTAGAGGAGAGAGACAGAGAGAGAGACAGAGACAGAGACAGAGAGAGAGACAAAGACCGAGAGAGAGGGGGGAGAGGGAGAGAGAGGGGGGAGAGGTAGAGAGAGGGGGGGGGAGAGTGTGAGAGAGAGAGAGAGAGAGAGAGAGAGAAAGAGAGAGAGAGAGAGAGAGAGAGAGAGAGAGCGATAGGGAGTATTTTTACAAATAAAAAGTACATTTTTGAGAGTCCATAAAACTGTATGATAGGTACAGTGGCTTGCGAAAGTATTCACCCCCCTTGGCATTTTTCCTATTTTGTTACCTTACAACCTGGAATTAAAATGGATTTTTTTGGGGTTTGTACACAACATGCCTACCACTTTGAAGATGCAAAATATTTTTTGGGGTGAAACAAACAAGAAATAAGACAAAAAAACAGAAAACTTGAGCCCCCCCCCCCCCCCAAAGTCAATACTCTGTAGAGCCACCATTTGCAGCAATTACAGCTGCAAGTCTCTTGGGGTATGTCTCTATAAGCTTGGCACATCGAGCTACTGGGATTTTTTCCAGTTCTTCAAGGCAAAACTGCTCCAGCTCCTTCAAGTTGGATGGGTTCCGCTAGTGTACAGCAATCTTTAAGTCATAACACAGATTCTCAATTGGATTGAGGTCTGAGCTTTGACTAGGCCATTCCAAGACATTTAAATGTTTCCCCTTAAACCACTCGAGTGTTGCTTTAGCAGTATGCTTAGGGTCATTGTCCTGCTGGAAGGTGAACCCGTACCAGTCTCAAATCTCTGGAAGACTGAAACAGGTTTCCCTCAAGAATGTCCCTGTATTTAGCACCATCCATCATTCCTTCAATTCTGACCAGTTTCCCAGTCCCTGCCGATGAAAAACATCCTCACAGCATGATGCTGCCACCACCATGCTTCACTGTGGGGATGGTGTTCTCGGGGTGATGAGAGGTGTTGGGTTTACGCCAGACATAGCGTTTTCCTTTATGGCCAAAAAGCTCATTTTTAGTCTCATCTGACCAGAGTACCTTCTTCCATATGTTTGGGGAGTCTCCCACATGCCTTTTGGCGAACACCAAACGTGTTTGCTTATTTTTTTCTTTAAGCAATGGCTTTTTTCTGGCCACTCTTCCGTAAAGCCCAGCTCTGTGGAGTGTACGGCTTAAAGTGGTCTTATGGACAGATACTCCAATCTCCGCTGTGGAGCTTTGCAGCTCCTTCAGGGTTATCTTTGGTCTCTTTGTTGCCTCTCTGATTACTGCCCTCCTTGCCTGGTCCGTGAGTTTTGGTGGGTGGCCCTCTCTTGACAGGTTTGTTGTGGTGCCATATTATTTCCATTTTTTAATAATAGATTTAATGGTGCTCCGTGGGATGTTCAAAGTTTCTGATATTTTTTTATAACCCAACCCTGATCTGTACTTCTCCACAACTTTGTCCCTGACCTGTTTGGAGAGCTCCTTGGTCTTCATGGTGCCGCTTGCTTAGTGGTGTTGCAGACTCTGGGGCCTTTCAGAACAGGTGTATATATACACTGAGATCATGTGACACTTAGATTGCACACAGGTGGACTTTATTTAACTACTTATGTGACTTCTGAAGGTAATTGGTTGCACCAGATCTTATTTAGGGGCTTCATAGCAAAGGGGATGAATACATATGCACGCACCACTTTTCCGTTATTTAGTTTTTAGAAATATATATTTTTTTTTTTTTTTCACTTCACCAATTTTGACTATTTTGTGTATGTCCATTACATGAAATAAAAATAAAAATCAATTTAAATTACAGGTTGCAATGCAACAAAATAGGAAAAACGCCAAGGGGGATGAATACTTTTGCAAGGCACTGTACCTGGAAGCCTTCTCCTTCAGTGTGTTGCTGCCATGGAGGTCTGACAAGGGGGTCCGGGGATTCTTTCGAGTGATACCTGTACAAGACAGAAATGGACGGGAGGACAGAGAGAGAGAGAGAGAGAGAGAGAGAGAGAGAGAGAGAGGATGTGTCAACAATTGTATAAACCTTTAAGAGGGAAATGTGGTCTCATTCTTGCCAAGGGATACACACGCAACTCCATTATTGAACGGTGATATCAGATCGAGTAAGAACAAGATACTGGATAAAGTGGAAACAAAATATTGGCTCAAGTGGGAATGAGATATTTGGATTGGGGTGAAAATGAGACATTGGATGAAGTAAGAACAGCATGGTGGATTGGTTTAGAGGAGAGGCTACAGGTCAGTAGACGGTTTGAAGGCAGACTGAACTATGTCCATTGTTCTATACACTGGAGACACTGAGGCTGTTGGATTCAGTTTGACTTTCGTGACAATCATGAAAGTGCTATAACATTTTCGCACGCACGCACAAACACACACACAGACACACTAGGGACCAGGCTATTGTCAGTATGCCTCTGAACTGACAGCGAAGCCCCAGAGAACGTCAGAGGAGAATGGAATGAGAGGAAGAAGGAAACGGTAACTCACAGTGCTTATTAAACACTGCCATTCCTCATAGACTAGTGTGTGTGTGTGTGTGTGTGTGTGTGTGTGTGTGTGTGTGTGTGTGTGTGTGTGTGTGTGTGTGTGTGTGTGTGTGTGTGTGTGTGTGTGTGTGTGTGTGCGCAATACGATTGTGCGAGTGATCATGCGTGAGAAACAGCTTCATTACGATAACTATTCCAGGACAAATAGCTCAACAGTGCCTTATGAGGATCCAAGTCTGATTTTCAATCTTATTAGTGACAGCAATGCAATTTGCTAATCGAGGCCAAAAATTGTTGCCGACCTATTTATTATTCCATATTTGGCCTCTGCGAATTTGTCAATAAAGCATGAAAGTAATGCCTTGATTGGTTTGACCTGACTAGAAGGGAAACTTCAGAGGAAAAGGTTGGCACTACATAAACAAAATATATTTGGTTATATTTAAAAAAAAATGTTTTAGTCATTTAGCAGACGCTCTTATCCAGAGCGACTTACAGTTAAGTGAGTGCATACATAATTTGTTTTTTTTTCATACTGGCCCCCCGTGGGAATCGAACCCACAACCCTGGCGTTGCAAACGCTATGCTCTACCAACTGAGCTACATCCCTGCCGGACATTCCCTCCCCTACCCTGGACGACGCTGGGCCAATTGTGTGCCGCCCCATGGGTCTCCCGGTTGCGGCCGGCAACGACAGAGCCTGGATTCGAACCAGGATCTCTAGTGGCACAGCTAGCACTGCGATGCAGTGCCTTAGACCACTGCACCACTCGGGATAACCGAGGGCCTTTAATCGAGTGAGAACAAGTTAATTCAGAACGAGCTAATT